AAGTAGGAAGAGGGGGCCATGATATCCGGAAACACTTCATGGCCCTGGCCATGCTGTCCACCCAAGTGGCCCAGAGAAACAGATAAAGGCATAAGCATAAACTGTCGGAGGCCCAGCGCGGATACAAGAGATCTGCACAGAACTCCGACAAGTTTATGTCTATGGTCTATGCCGTGTGTCGTCACCGGCAATCGTCACACACACACACACATACACACACGCACACACACACACACACACACACACTCCTGGCCGCCCCCAACGATGTAAGGCAGCAGCGCGCTGCGGCACTCGCCTCGCTGGGCAGCCAGAGAGCCACAACACCAGGGACGGGGCCTTTGGCGCTGCAGTGGGCGCCCGCCTGCGCCACGCGGGCGCGAGCTCGTGGGCCCGCCTCTGCCTTTCCCGCGCGGCGAGCCCAGGGGGGTCCTCCAGCATTCCGAGAAGTCTCTGCGCCGTCCCCGAGGATACCGAAGACTGCTCGGAAGGCCAGAGGGCTTCCGAGAGGCCAGGCCGCCTTCCTAGAGGGCCTCCTCCTCCTCCTCCTTGCCCCCCCTTGCTCGCCGCCCCTCCCTCCTCTGGCCGTCTCCCCTCTCTGCCGCGCCCCGATTCCAATGCCCCCACCCAGCCCTCCCGCCCTTCCCCCCTCCTCGCACCTCGTCCCTCCTCCTCCTCCTCCTCCTCTCATCCTCCTCCTCCTCCTCCTCCTCCTCCTCCTCCTCCTCCTCCTCCTCCTCCTCCTCCTCCTCCTCCTCCTCCTTCGGCAGAGGCCCCCGGCGGAGGCCAGTCCGACGGGGAGAACACTTACACCTCCGGGGTCTGCTTGTCTTGGCACCCCACGTGGACTTCGGAGACGGCATTGCCAGTCTGCAAGCAGCAAGCACCCACACCTTCCTGAGTGGCGTCTAGGCCCGTAGGCCCGTCGTTAGCCCACTCGCCTGCGTTGCCCGCCAGAGGACTTGCGGGCTGGACCTCCTCCGCGGTCGCTCCGTTTAGGGGTAACGGGGAGACCGTCTTCCTGGTCGCGAGTTCTGCCCTGGAAGGGTCTCCCCATCTTCCTCCCTGCAGACGGTCGAAAGGGCCAATCTCGCCAGACATCGTCGTGCTGCCTGGAAGAGGAGGACATCCATGAACTTGCGGCCCAGCAGCAAGACAAGGACGAGGAAAAGGAGGAGGGCGGAGGGAGGGAGGGAGGGAGCCCCGGGGTTCAAGGGAGGGAGGGATGGAGACAGGGAGGGAGTGAGGATGGGAGGGAGGGACGAGGAGAGGGGTGAGGGAAGGAGGGAAGGAGGTGGGAGGAGTAGGAGCCAGGTGGGGTTCGGGAGGAGGCAGATGGCAACTAGGATGAGGCAGGATGTAGGGGTGAGGGAAGGGAGGGGACGGTGAGAGGGGGCGAAGGAGGAGGACGACGACCCCGTGGAGAAAGGAGGGCGACGAAGGAGGAGACAGAAGAATACAATAACTGCATAAACTTTCGGAGGTCCATGCGGATTTCTCTGATCGTTGATGGACACCCCTCTATGGCGCGGGGAGCGCGCCAGGGGCGGCGCCGGAGCCGCCAGGGGGGGTGCAGCGTCGATTCGAGAAATCCACGCGGCCCTTCAATGTTTATGCTTCTGCCGATGTGCTCCCATTCGAGACGAGGAGGATGAGGGACAGGCGACAACAGGCGGTGCCGAAACTCGGCTTTGCGCCCACCCCCAGCGGCCCATCTTCATCGGCTCGCCGTCCGGCACGCCGGTGATGCTCATGGAGCCGCCCATGGCCTCGGCTGGGCAAGAACGCCCAATGTCCGACTGATCGGCAAATCTGCTGGTTGAACGATCGGATGCCGGGTTGGTCGGCTGAACGATTGGCTGATGAGTCGCTTGGCTGGCTGACTCGATGACTGATTGCCCGATTGCGCCTTGATGAATCGCTCGACTGCCTGACTGTCTGACTGGCTGGTTGGCTGATGGGCCGACCGATTGGCTGGCTTTCCCAACTCTCCGTAATTTGGGCCATCCTGGAATCAAAGAAGAAGCGTTTCTCATCTCCTGCCATTCCCTCCGCCCCCCATCCCTACGCTTGCAACCATGAAGCCCTTGCTACCCATCGGCTTTGGGCGATCTTCGGCGGTCTTCTGGCGATCTTCGGCGGTTTCCAGCGGCTTTCGGCGGTTTCTGGCGGTCATGAGCGCGAAAGCTTGACGGCTGCGTGCAACAAGGGGTCGGCGATCGAAATACATCGGATCGGCGGAGTTCTGCAGCCGAGTCGGGAGACAAGTCGAGTCGGCGTGCATCGGCAGGCTACTAGACCTCCGCCGAGAGATCGGATCCCACACCGAGATCCGAAGTCGAATCGCATCGCAATCGGAATCCGTCGGCATCGAAGCGAATCGAAGCGGAGGAATCGAAGCGAGCCCCGAACTTCCCCGGGGGGGGGGACGGGCTCGTCGCCCCCGGCCCTTCTCGCTGGGCGGCCGCGGGGCCCGGCGGCCAGGGCCCCCGGAGGCCGAGAGGCCGCCGAGCGCAGCGGGCCAGGCCCCCCCGCCTCCGGGAGCCTCCCCACGGGGGGGGAAAGAGGCCCGCGGAGCAGCGCTCCCTCTGCTGGGCGTGCGCGCCAGCGCGGGGGCGGGCCCGGGCCCCCGGGGGTGCCGCCGCGAGAGCGGGCAGGCGCGGGCACCCTGCACGGGAGCCCAACACAGATACACCAGATACACCACCACCGCATCCCTCACCCCCTCCCTCCCCCGGGAGAGGGGAGAGGAGTGAGGGCAGAGGGGGGAGGAGGAGTCGACGTGGCGGTGGCGTACACTCTTGGGGCCCGCACCCGCCAGGCGGAGCCGCCTCTCGTCCCTGGGCGCGGCCGGCCGTGGAGCGGAAGCTGTCGCCACGTCCCTGGGCCCCCGGGGAGTCCAGCAGGCTTTTGCGCCGCACGGGCGCGTCGAGGCAAAGAGATCCCCCGGGGGTGGGGACCTGACCTGACTACCCGCACCAGACCACCCCAACCCAGCCCGAAGATCCGAACTTCGGGTTTGGGGGGGTACGGGTTCCATATGCGTTTTTGCAACATGTTGCCGGACCCCCCCCCCGGCCACTGGAAACGGAGGGCAACTCGGAGCCTTCAGGTGGGGTTTGGGGTGGCTTGGTGGGTGGTGATGCGCTACCTCGGGGTCCCACGCGCGGGCGAACCTGAGGGACGAATCGAGAGCGGTATGCAGCGGGATGCTGCTCTGCCGACGAACCCCCTGGTCTCTGATCCCGCGCAAATCGGACTCACACCTCAACGGCGGCGGCCGCAGCGGCCTGGCCTGGATCAGCATGTCGTAGGCGGGCCTCTTGCTGTAGGGGCCGGTGTGGCCGAAGCCGGTGACGCTGCAGTAGACGAGCCCAGGGAACCTGTCCTGAGGCGGGGGAGGGAAGAGGCCTCCTCCTCTCCTCCACCTCCTCCTCCTCCTCCTCCTCCTCCTCCTCCTCCTCCTCCTCCTCCTCCTCCTCCTCCTCCTCCTCCTCCTCCTCCTCCTCCTCCTCCTCCTCCTGTCCTCCACCTCCTCCTCCTCCTCCTGAAAGTTGCGCGGGCGGAGGAGTCCGGAAGGAGGAGGGGGAAGAGGGAGGGAGGGAGGGAGGGAGGGAGGCAGGGAGGGAGGTGGGAGGGAGGGAGGGAGGGCGGAGGAGGGAGAGAGGAAAGAGGAAGGAGCGAGGAGGGAGGCGGGAAGGGGAGGGGGAGGAGGAGAAGAAGGGGCGGGGAAGAGCAGCGGCCCGAGCGCGCGCGGAGGCCCGAGAGGCCTCTGGGAGCCACCGGGGAGTCCTTGAGCTGGTTGAAGCCGAGGCCGTACTTATCCAGGGTGCCGGTCTTGAAGTTCTCGATGAGCACGTCGCTGGTCTCCAGCAGCTTGAAGAGCACCTTCTGGCCCTCGGGGTCCTGGCGCCACGGGGAGGAGCGGCCCAAGGGCGCGTCCCTCCCCTTCCCTCCCTCCCTGAGGGGGGAACGTTAGCGACTACCTATGGTAAGTAGTGGTGGTGGAAGATCGGCCCATCGGGTAGGGTCGGCGGCGAGCGAGGGGAAAGTGAGAAGAAGGAGGCCTTCTCAGAAGGCTCGGAAGTCCCCCGGCCTTCTGAGAAGTTTCCAACGCCTTCCCCGACGACACAAACACTTCTCAGAAGGAGCGAGGGCTTCTGAGAAGTCTCCCCCGCCTGCTGAGAGGGCCTTCTTCTTCTCACTTCCCCCTCGCTCGCCGCTGCAAAGGGGGCGGCCAGCCCATCGAGCTCGAATCGGCGATGCACATCGCCGATGCATCGGCGGTGGGACCCCTGAGAGCGAGACCGCGTGATCTTGGGCCGGGTCGGCTATCGGGCCCCTGTCGGCGACCACTGGGCGATGGGGGGTCGATGCACACCCCGGTGAGCCTCTCCCCCTTGGCCGCTGCATCGACCCCAGAGGGACAAAACACTCAGAAGCACAAACTCTCGCAGGTCCGCGCGGAGATCTTGGAACCGAGCTGGATCCCCCTCCCGGGCGCGCGGGGCGCGCCAGGGGCGGCGCCGGAGGCGCCGCCAGGGGGCCCAGCGCAGATCCAAGAGATCCGCGCGGACCGCCAAAAGCGTGTGCTTGCGCCACTTGTTCTTCTTCGAGCCTCGCCGTCCTGCCCCGGCCCTCGACGCCGTCGTGATGTCCCCCGACACCCCCAGGGCGTGGGGCCCAAGAGCCCTCGACACTCGACCCCTTCCCTGGGGCAGGCCTTCCGCACCTTGGCGGCGCGCACAAGGGGGTGGAGGGAGGGGGGAGGTCTTCTTAGAGGGCGCCGGCCTCACATCTAGAGATAAGGCCCGCGCCCTCTAAGAAGCAGGGGTGCTTCTGAGAAGGCCTCCCCCCTCCCCCCACCCCCCCTTGTGCGCGTGGCTGAGTACCGGGGGTCGCCCTCCGATGGCCCCGCGGGCTCGACGTCCTTGGGCCCCGGGGCCCACGGAAGTCGAGCCGCCGGCCTCCACCTGGGGGCGCGCTCTGGCCAGGATCCCGCCGGCCCTCTGCGCGCATGGTGCTGTCGGGGGCGCCCCGCTCCCTGGTTGTGCCAAGCGCCGCGGGTCGCGCTGCGGTCACCGCGCAGACACGCTCGGTGGTGCCCTCTGCGTCTCCGAAGCCTGCCCTCCACTGGTGCTCTCACCGCGCTGACCGATGTGTCCAAGGCTGCCACCTCGGCATAGAAAGCAGAGAACGACGGTTAAACGTAAGTCGGGCCTGTCCTCCTAAAGGGGGGTTTTAGACGAAACATCAAAAATATTCCAGCTAATACCCCAAAATGGTCGAAAATGCTATTAAAAAAATCGTCCCCCGAATATTCCTCCTGTAGAGGGACCGGCCCAACTTTATGTTAAACAAGCTGTCCCCTGTCAGCTCGTACAGCCAAACCCATGCCACGCTCAACCGCCCCGCACGACTGGTGGAGGTGACAGCCCAGGGCACGCCCCACGCTCGCCGAGCGCGAGCCTCCTCCGTGGTCTGCTGCGCCGCGGGCTCACGGCACACTCTGTGCTGCACGGCAGCGGAGAGGGAGAGAGAGCCAGCGAGAGGCGAGCGCACAACGGCGAGCGCTGCCCAACCCCACTTTGCAGACCACGTTGTACCGCTCCCTCGGCCCCCACGTCGCAACGCTTCCCCCCCTGGCCTGCGGACGAAATGTGGCTTTAAGTCGGGCCTGTCCCTCTACAGGAGGGAAATTCAAAAGTAGTTTACAAAATAGCCTGGGGACGATTTTCTTTTATTTCTGGCATCTCAAATTTGTTGTTGACATTCTTAAGTCTTCGTCCAAAATCCCCCCGGCGAGGCACGGGTGAGCATCCTCCCCGGGCGGACCCTCGGATCTGAGCGCTGGGCGCTGCGGTCGTCTCCGCGCAGGCCTTGGTCTGCAGTCTCGGCGCGCCCACGTCCGAGCCCGGGCCCCGCTCGCAGCGGGAACTCGACCCGCACCTGGAGCCTTCCGTGGTGCAGTGCCAGGGCCTCGTGTGCAGGGGAAGGAGGAATAGGCATACAGCAGGGGCCCGACCGCAAGAAACCTTCCACGAGAAACCCAACCCTGAGACCCCAGGAAGCCCCGTGATCCCTGGTGCGGGAACGCCACGCCCTCCATCGCAAGACCACCGAAACCCAGGAAACCCAGGGCACCCTGGAGGCCAGCAGGGTGCTTCTTGGCATGGGTCTCCGCTGTACCTCTCCCTCCCCTGCGGCCCGGCATGGCCCCACAGCGCGCCCAGGCGGCGGGAGGAGGAGGAGGAGGAGGAGGAGGAGGAGGAGGAGGAGGAGGATGAAGAGGAGGAGGAGGAGGAGGAGGAGGAGGAGGAGGAGGAGGACGGGGACGTTTCTTGGCATGGGTCTCCACTGCATGCACCTATCCTGGCCAGGCCCACCCTGGGCCCAGCATCGGAGCCTACGCCCTCCCGGCTCGGCCAGGGAGGCATGCGCACCGATCCTGCGCCCGGGACGGGCCTGGCCAGGATCGGTGCGTGCGCCCACTTCGTGCCGCCCGAGCGTGCACGTGTCATTGCACCGGCCTTGCAGACGTGCTGCGGCGGATTTCTGCGTGGACTTTTGCCCGAAGCGGCGAGCGAAAAACGAAATGAATGTCGCGTGGATCTTTGCTTGGTCTTCATCCCTGGCCAACAATAGTCCGCACGAAATCCACCTCGAAATCCAGAGCGAAACTCTCCAGGACACTCTGGTCCCATCCTATCGTTTTCCGCACGAACTCCGCTCTGCGATGTTAGCGCCATGACACGGTGAGAGTTCTCCTCCTCCTTTCTCTGCGTGGCGCCCTCCGGTCGAACATGATGTGCCGAGCGGCGCAGCTGCCAATGCTTCGCGGCATGGCGGCCGATGCGGTGCGGGGGCGCAGAGGAGCTGGACAAGCGCGTTCCGCTGCTCGCAAGAGGTAACTACCCGCAGATGGCCTGGATCCGCCGCGGGAGATCTACGATACACGACGTAGTGGAAGACCCATTCTTCTGGACGTTTGCGAGCAGGCACTGTGCGAGCAGTGGAACGCGCCCGGTGAGGAGCGTTGACGCACTGCGCTCACCGGACCTTCCACAAGCGAAGCAGGCCGCTGAGGGTGGCCCGCTGCCGTGCGCGTCCTCGCGGGTGCCGACGGGGCTGCCGTCAAAAAACTCTGCAGGAGGGACCCATCTCGGCCAGCTGCGCCACACCGCCTCAAGAGATGGGTCAGTCTGCCTCGTACTGCTAGGTCGGGCATGTCCCCCATACAGGCGGATTTTGGACGAGCAGAAGTAATCACAATACAAAGCCCCCGACTATCTATGAACTCTGTTTGAATATTCCTCCTGTAGGGTGACGCGCCCGACTTGATCGTACTGGCCGCCTGCAGAGTCTGGTCGCCGAAGCCACCTTTGCCATCTCTGCCCGCCCGCGCGCGGCGCCCGCCCGCCCGCGCGCGCGCGCGTGCGCGCGGCCTCGAAGGCCGCGGGGCGCGCCGGGGCCGGCGGCCCCAGCGGCTCCGCCTGGGCTCCGGCGGGCCTGCACGCCGCGCAGCGGCGCGCAGCGGCGCGCGCGAGTGAAAGAGAGGAGGAGGAGGAGAGGAAGGAGGAGGAGGAGGAGGAGGAGGAGGAGGAGGAGGAGGGGAGGAGGGGGAGGAGGGGGAGGAGGGGGAGGAGGAGGGAGGAGGAGGAGGAGGGGAGGAGGAGGAGGAGGAGGAGGAGGAGGAGGAGGAGGAGGAGGAGGGGAGGAGGGGGAGGGGAGAGGACGAGGAGGAGGAGGGAGGAGAGGAGGAGGAGGAGGAGGAGGAGGAGGAGGGGTGACCCCAGGCAACCAGTCACCTTCGGTGCGCGGCTTTCGGGGGGCGCGGGGAGGCCAAACCCAGGCGCGCAGGCAGCTGCTGTCGCATCACACTCGGCCACCTGGGGACGCCGGCACGCCTGCCTCAAAGGTCACTCCGGCGAAGGGTCTCACCCTTTCGGGGGCGTCGAAGAAGGGTGAGTCCAAGAGGGGGGGCGCAAATCATGGCCGGCGGCATGTGCGCGGCCCAGGGGCGGGCTGGGGACGCATTGGAATATGAAGATGAGCCATGAAATCTGGTAAGACATCATGGCCCCCGCCATCATATCCGCCCCCCCTAGGCCGATCTTATCTCGCTTCGCTGTGTTCTACGATAGCTCGGGGGACGATCCGCTGGAATCGTTCGGCACGTGTAATGACGGCGTCGGGCACGTGCTCGAGAAGTGGGCGGCGCAAAGAGATGCGGCGTCTCCCCTAGTGTTGTGCCTCGCGTGATCCGTTCTTGCTGTTGCTCTTCATGCTGGTCGCGCTTCGCCCAGTGGGAGTGTACAGGGTTGAAGCGCTGAGGTCCTCTTCCTCCTCCTACTCCCCACCTTCCTCACTCCTTCCACGTCCTCCGCCTCCTCTTCCTGCGGTTCCTCCCTTCCCTTCCTCCTCACCATCCACCTCCGCCTTCCCTGTTCATCCTCCGCTCCCTCCTATCACTCCCCCTCCTCCTCCTCCTCCTCCTCCTCCTCCTCCTCCTCCGCCTCCTCCTCCTCCTCCTCCTCCTCCTCCTCCTCCTGCTCCTGCTCCCCTCAAATCCTCCGCCTCACCCCTCCTGGTAGATCCTTATCCCTCAGACTCTTCCCCCCAGCCGCCTCATCCTCCTCACTATGCCGGTTGCGCGATCCTTGAAGTTCAGGGCCAGGCTCATCTTGTTCCTCAACAGGCACAAGGCAGAGCCACTCGCAACACTGCCACATACACGTGCACCCTCTCCTCCCCCTCCTCCTCCTCCTCCTCCTCCTCCTCCCTCCCTCCCTCCCTCCCTCCCTCCCTCCTCCCTCCTCCCTCCTCCTCCCTCCCCCTCCCTCCACTCCTGCCTCCCCCCTCCTCCCTCCATCCCTCCATCCCTCCATTCCCTCCATCCCTCCTCC